CGCGGGGTCGGGGCCGGCCGCGGCTCGCGCGCCGCGGTCGGGCCCCGCGGCTGCGGCGGGGCCCAGCTTCGGCAGCCCCCGGGCGGCATCGGCGTCCGGCAGGAACCTGTCACCCATGTCTCCGACGACGATAGAAGATCAAAAGACTGCATAAACAGAACCTTTTGGCACTCCGCGCGGATTGCTTGGATCCGCGCTGCCCCCCCCCCCCCCTCCCTGGCGCGCGGCGCGCGCCAGGCGCTGTGCTGGAGGCGCCGCCGGGGAGGTCCAGCGCGGATCCAAGAAATCCGCGCGGAGCGCCAACAATTATGTTCACGGCGACTATCCTTCTTTCGAGACGATGCATTTCTTGCAATCCCGGCGCTGTGCCTTGATTTCGCCCTCCTGGGCTCGTGATCGGGCCCCGGGGCCATCAAGCACGGATCTGGGACGAAGAGCAGCGCCAGGGGATGGGTCGGGACCTCTGGGGCCGCGCATGGAATCAACCATACCGTCGGATGTCGAGTACCCAGCAACCTGTTGGAGGCCTCCAAGATGGGTTCCGAGCAGATGGCGTCGGAAGATCGCCTTGTATCGCCAATGCATCGCGGATGCATCGGCGATACACCGGCGACGTCGGCGATGCGTCGGCGCCGCCGTCGTGGAGATAATCGGGCCCCACATTGAGCCGCATCGGCGATGCATCGGCGATGCGGCGCCATCCTTTGACCACATCTACTTCCACCCGATTTGGAAGGCCCAGACCCGTGGGGCCAGCGGGGGTTCCCTTACCCAGGCCCCCTCGCGTCGCGAACAAAAACAAGACGGACCTGTTGTCACGATTTTGAACATCTGGTCGCCCTTGACGGACCCCAGCAGTGCCAGACAACGGCTCAGGATGAGAAGCTGGTCCCCAGGACGGGGTCCAGGCCTCTGGGGGTCCACTTCGTGAGAAAATCATGACGTCGGGGATCTGGGCAGGCAACCATGTATGAACCACTGCAAGCAGATTTCTAAGACTCTGGCTGGGGTTCACAATTCGATGGGTATGTCTGCAACGAACTGAACCCCATCGGGGATGCCCGATGCTCGCCCGATGCTCCAGCGTCAATTGGACCCGCGGGGCCAGGGTTCGAAATCGGTCGTAATTTTTCCAGAGATCCAGGCGCTCCAGGTTTTTCTCACCGCGAGTTTTCACCCTCTCTCGGGCTATGGAGGCCCCTCAAGGCTCGGTCTGACTCGAGAGATGCAGCAGAACGATGGGGTGGAGGGCTCCGGCCGTGCTCTTCACCATGTTGCCGCTTGCTCTCGCGACGTCGGATCCCAGGGAGGCCCAGGACCTCCGCCTGGAACCACAGCTCGAGACGGACCGGCCTTGTCACGATCTCGGCCTCTGGGGGCCGACACGGGGCCAGGGGCCGTCAGGAACGATCCCAAACAACACCTTGTGTGGTACATATTGCGGATATGTATGCCCGAAGGTCTGTTTGCGCGTGCACACATGCGAGTGCATGTGCCCATGTTAAGCATGCTTCGTCCGTGCGAAGACATCGTAAGCGTTGTTTTAGTTGTCGTGTATGTGTATTGCATAATCTATGTTTGCCACCGTCGATGTGTTTGCAATGTTTCGCCAGGGGGGCGTCCAAGGACAACCCAGGACAAACAAACTGTTCTCTGGAAGGGGTCGCGTCCTTTCGGGCACTCGTTCTGACACTCCTCCGCCTCCTCCTCCTCCTCCTCCTCCTCCTCCTCCTCCTCTGCCAGGGGACGGGGGAGGCTCCCCTGCCAGGGAAGGGGGGGCGGGAAGAGGAGGGGAGGAGAGGAGGAGGAGGAGGAGGAGGAGGGGGAGGAGGAGGGGAGGAGGGAGGAGGAGGAGGAGGAGGAGGAGGAGGAGGAGGAGGGGAAGGATATCATGAGGAGGAGGAGAAGGACGACGAGGAGGAGGACAACGAGGAGGACAACGATGAGGAGGAGGAGGACAACGAGGAGAAGAAGAAGGAGGAGGAGGAGGAGAATATCAGTAGGAGGAGCACGAGGAGGAGGAGGAGGAGGGCGAGGAGGACCTCGTCTACCTGCCCTCTTTTCCTCGAGCTTCCGCCTGGCGGCTCCTGCCTCCCCCCCCAGCCGCTGCGGCGGCCCAACGACCGCGGCACCTGGGGGGCATGACCTTACGGTCGACGCACGGCGCGAGGCACGCGGTGACCTCGCCGATCAGCTCGCCCTCCTTTGGGGCGCTCTGCGACCCGGGCGCTCCTCGGCGCCCTGAAAACACCCACGACGGCATCTGCTCGCCGTTTTCGCTATTTTTTTCTTGGGGGGGAAGGGGTGCTTGTCCGAGGAGACACATGCAGGGACCACCGCCACCGCGAACCTATCGGTCGGTCGGACTCGGCATTGCAGCAGTCTGCGCGCCGTTCTGCTGATGGGCTCACACCCCGTGAGCCAGGGGCAACATAACTCTTATTCCGCACGCCATCCCCTCAAAACGAGGAGGGGCACCCAGCCCTGAGCCTGAGCTTGCCATGGGGCGAACCTATCGGAGGTGGGAGGAGGAGCGCGGACGCCCTGGGGCGGTGGCGCGCCCGAGCGTCACCCAGGACTGCAGTGCCCTGCGGCGCTTTGGCGTGCCACCGCCCAGGGGTGGGCTCCCCCGCGATCGGCTCTCGGGGGCGGTGGTCTGACTGCTTCTCTCCTCCGAACCCGCGGCCCCCCGGGCCATACAGCGAGAATGCCCGGGATAAAAGACGGGCCCCCGGGGGCAGAGGGTCGAGAGGCCTGCATGGGGGGGGGGGGGCCTGCTTCTGGCAAGCAGCAAGGCGTCCGAAATGTGGGGCGCCGGGCCAGCTCCAGCACGGGCCACAGAGCAGCTCCCAAACCGGGGTCGGGGCAGAGAGGCGGGGGGGCGGGGCGGGCCCGATGCACGCGGCCAGCGATAGAAGCCCTGGACCAGACAAAGTTACAGTCAACGCGTCTAATAAGGATGCGCGGATCGAATGCAAGGGTCTTGGTAGGCCATGCCGACACGTCTCGAGTGGTGCGCGGCCAGCGAATGTCGCCACGGGTGAGCCGAAGGGGAAGGATGCAAGGGCAACCTTAGAATGTTGCTCATCCTTACGGACCCCTGCTTAGAGTTGAAACAATTTTAGGCTAAGAACGTGGATGACACTCTAAGCTTTTCCTTGAACCGTAATCCAGGTTCATAGATACGAACACTCTACGAAGAAAGGAAGCTCCGAGCAAACGCCCATGGCCCAATCCAGAGTCTCGATTTTCGCAAGATGACCCAATGTGCTCCTCGATGGTCCTCACCGAGGAAAAACGCACACGTTCCAGCGATGCCAAATGCACCAAACTAAACGACATTGCCATCTCTTGGGGGTCCACCTTTACCTTTTCCTGCCGCCAGCCTTCCGCCAGCCTTTCGAACCGGCGGAAGAAGGCCGCCCTCGTTTTACTTCCCGACGCGCACTACAGTCAACCCGTATGATAAGGGTGCTCGATAAGGATGCAAGGGCATTGGAAGGCCACGTCGACAGCTTGCGAGTGTGGCGCGGTCAGCGAGCAAGGATGCAAGGGGTACCCGTCCATCCTTATCATGCGGGTTGACTGTGCCCCCGATGGTCATTCGGCCCAGGAGTTCTCGTGCAAGGCTCTATCTAGATTGCAGCTGGACCTAGGGGAGAAACACATCCTTCAAGAACATGGGGCCCTCCGCCGGCCAAGCTGAAGAGCATTCGAGGGCACCTTCCCCCAGGATGCACAAGAGCATTCAACAAGCACGAAAACCATCAGGGTACCCTCCCCGAGACGACCTCGATCTGATACCTCGCTCCGACAGAACTGTGATGACGGCGCTGGTGTTGGACCTACGCTACACCAGAAGCCCGACAAGGAGCGAGCAAAGGCAGGTGGGCATCTTCGTGCCACAGCCTCGCTCCATACGCGCCCTCCAGCAGGAGGACGGCGCCTTCCACCGTGGAAGAGGTGCCCACGCCTGCGACTTCGCACCAGGGCGAGGCCGTTTCTGGAGAGCCCCGCGTGGCTCCCAAGCCCGGGCCAGCAGGAGGGAATCGGCGGGGAAAACGCTGCTGGCCTTTGCAAGCGCGGGGCCCCGTTGCGTACGATCCCCGGTCCCCTCAAATCGGGGCGTCCGCACAACAGGGGCGGCGGCATGCCTTCCTACATGCACGTTCCACCTCTCGGCGTGCTTTTTTCGGCCCAGGATCGACGCAAATAGCAAGGGTGCGTGTTCTTAACCGTCGGGCGCTGGTCATTGAATGCCAGATTGTTCTGGATGCGACCGGCGAAATCGGTCGCGACAGATTTTGCTTCAAATTCTGATATCGGTCGCGACTGGTCGCGACCGATCTGGGAATCGGTTGCAATCGGTCGCCATCGATCTGGAGTGCCGGCCGGTCGCTGCCGATCGCGACCGAAATGATTGGGTTTTCAACGATCTGGGTGGAGGAAGCCTTAGGTCGAGCATGTCCTCCTACAGGCGGATTTCGGAAGACAAATTAGAGATAGTCAAACATTATCAAACAAGTCAGAAATGATAAAATCGTCCCCAGACAAGGTTTTTACAATTTTCGAACCTCCCTGCTGCAGAAGGACACGCCCGACTTAAAGGAAGCGTCCCGCTGCGAGAAGCCGGGGCCCATGATGGGCGACGGCAGCGCCCGGACGCAGAAGCGCAGCTGCTGGGCCTCCTGGCGCAGGGGGCGCAGCATCGCGTCGCTGAAGTCGCCGAGGGGCAGCTCGCCCTGGCCTTGTGGGGCCCCCCACGGCGCCAGGTGAGGGGGGGGGGTGGTCAGAGGACCCCTGGCTGGGGTCGGAGTAGATGGGGTCGGAGGGTCGCGCCGCATCGGCGATGCACAGGCGATGCATCGGCGATGCACTGGCGATGCACCGGCGATGTATCGGCGATGCATCGGCGATGCACTGGCGATGCATCAGCGACGCCGGCGATGCAACGGCGATGTCGACGTGAAGCAAATCGGGCCCCACATCGAGTCGCATCCTCGATGCATCGGCGATGCGGCGCGATCCTCCGACCCCATCTACTCGGAACCCATCTAGGAAGCGTAGAGTGGTAGGGTTAGGTCGGGCATGTCCTCCTACAGTCCTACAAGAGGATTTTGGAGGAAAAATGAAAAACATGTGAAACATGTTCGAAGCTGATTCATATATAAAAACTTAAAACAAAAAACATCGTCCAAGGACTATTTTTCTATACTGTGTTTGGATGTTCTTCCTGTAGAAACAACATGCCCGACTTAATGGTAGGGCAGGAGGGGAAGGAGGATGGAAGGGGGGGAGGATGGGCCCCAACCCCCTCGCGTCATGACAAACATCACGACGGACAGTTTTCAGGGCCATATTTTTGCAGTCCCTGGGGGATCCTCGCCGAAAGGCCTTGTGCCCGTCGAACAGCGGCTCAAGGGGGAGTGTACTCAAGACTTCTGGGAGCCCGCGCTGGGAACGGAGCATGACGCCGGGGGTCTGGGGAGGCGGGATGGCGGGAGTAGGGGGGAGTGCGGGAGCAGAAGGAGGCAGAGGACGCTGAGGGCCAGGAACAGTACCTCCTGCACCTCCTCGTCCTTCTCGTCACCCCTCCTCCAGGCCATCCTCTCTCCACCTCTCGTTCCCCCTCCTCCCTCCTCCTCTCGGCTCCTCCTCCTCCTCCTCCTCGGCTTCCTCATTATCCTGCTTGCTGCTTGCTGTTCCTCCTCTCTTTCTCCTCCACCTCCTTCTTTTTGGGTCCGTGGGTAGCCAGGCCTCACCCCCAGACCCCCGACGTCATGCCTTTGCGCATCATGTCGACCCCCCAGAGACCGTTTTTGTTCACCCTGGGCCGTTTCTTGACGGCCCCGAGGGCCCGCAGGGGCCCCCAGAGGTCGACGACAGCAAACCAAACCCTCTGCCATGCTCTCTTCATGTCGCGAGGGGGTCTGGGCCCAGCTGGCGAGCTGGCGGCGTGGCCGGTGCCGCCTGCCACAGCGGCACAGCACGTCGGAGGGGCGGCCGGCTCGGCGGCGGGCGGAGCCGGGGCCCCGTGTGCGGGGTTTCTTGCCAGAGGGGTTGGGGGCGCAGGCCGCGGCTGGACTGGGCATCTCCTCTCCCCCCTGGCGATCATCGTCGATGGTCATCGTCGTCGATGGTCGTCGTCGTCGTCGTCGTCGTCGATCGTGGTCGTGGTCGTGGGCGTAGTCGTCGTCGTCGTCGCGGTCTTCGTCGTCGTCGCCGTCGCCGCGGTGCCCCCAGGATTCCCTACAGGAGGCTCAGATGGCCTCCGGAGTACCTCTCACGAGGCCCAGACGACCACATGGACATCAAGATGGCGCGGAGAGCTGGGGACATCTTGGACAAGGACCACTTCGGGGTGGGCGCGGCCTGGGCGGAGCCCGCATTCTTCTGCGATCGGTGGTCGCAGAAGCAGATCCCCCACCCCGCTCCTTCAGCTCCTCTTCCCGCTCCTCCTTCTCCTCCTCCTCCTCCTCCTCAACGTCTGGACGTAGGGACATGGATGACGATGCTGCTGCTGCAGCTGATGATGATGACGACGATGATGATGCCGATGATGATGCTGATGCTGATGATGGTGACGAAGATGGTGACGAGGATGCTGATGATCCTCATACTGATGATGATGATGGTGGTGGTGATGATGCTGATGATGGTGCTGCCGATGATGATAATGATGAGGATGATGATGCTGATGATGTGATGATGCTGATGATGATGGTGCTGATGATGATCCTGATGATGACAAAAAGGAGCGGCAAGAGGAGGAATAAGATGAACAGGAGAAGGATACGGATGAGGGATGAGGATTCGGAGGGGGACGGACGAAGGAGGAAGGAGGTCGCATGGGGGAAGGGGGAGGAGGAGGAGGCGGGGGGAAGATGGACGGAGGACGGGGGAGAAGAAGGAATAGGGCGAGGAGGAGGACGAGGAGGGATGGAGGGAGGTGTGAGGAAGAGGCAGAACAACGGCGATGTGATGAGGAGAAGGAAGAAGAGAAGGAGAAGGAGGAGGAGGAGGAGGAGGAGGAGGAGGAGGAAGGGGAGGAGGTTGGAACCACGGTTGGCCAGTACCGTGAGGTGCGCAAGCCCTCGGGGGCCAGCTCAATCGAAACTTTCCATCCCCAAACACCACCTGCACATCTCCTTTACCAACTACTCTTTACATTCCGTTTCGAATACTTTTTGCCCCCTCCCTCAAGTGACGCTGATATTTCACCACGCAGGTGACGTCAGCACCACGACTTCATCAACGTTCAGGAGGAGACCATGAAGAGCTACGAAGGCCGCGAGACCGCCGAGCGTTGCGCCACCGCGGCCCGCGGCGCCGCGCAGCGCCGGCGCCTGGCAACGCTGGCGCCTGGCGGCGCTGGCTGCTGGGCTCAGGAGGGCCAACGCCAGCACACACGACAGCGCCGATGCCAACACTAACAGAACATGGACCAGTACCCCGACCAAGATCCAGTACGTAGTCATTGAGATCGACTCCAACGCGAGCCCCTGCACTCAGCAGCATGACAACGAACACCACCACCACCACCATAACGACTGCGACCAGCAACACCACGACCACGACCGCGACCCAAGCAGAGAGCTTCGTAGCAAGCAGCAAGACTCTGGCCACGCCCGCGCCGACGCCTATGTTGGCATCGACGCCGACGCTTACGGCGGCATCCAGAGCACCTGCGACGAGGCCAAGGATGACGAGGAGAAATTGGACCTGGAGGAGGCCGACGTCGAGAGGCGTCGGAAGATCCCCTGGCCTACCTGGGGGTTTGTGGGCGGTGAAGGCCCAGGAACCTGCTCACTATGAGACCAAGAACCTGCCCAGGATGAGGCCCAGGCCAAGGGTCACCTTCCCGTCAGACCGCGATCCCAGGGCGGCAGCTGCTGAGGCCGTGCGAGCCGCCACAGTACGCAGCCACATACACTACGACCAGTGGAACCAGCAGCACCACCACGACTACGACCAGCAATGCCACCACCACGACAACTACCAGCACCACTACCACGACCAAGACCGCGACCACCACCATTGACTACGACCAACAACACAAACACTAAGACTTCTTCGCCCTCCCGCCCTCCATCCCGGCCGCTACGAGCGACCAGGAGTACGATCAGGATCACCATCGTGGGCCCCGCCTGCACCAGCAGCAACAGTACCTTCCTGAGCGGCACTGCCACCAGTCCAGCTCCCCATCCGACACCCAAGCATCGACACCATCACCGAAGACAGTGTATGCTTCAGCATCGAAGTCAGCATCGACACCAGCACGGACGCCAGCAGACACGTCAGCAGCGACACCAACACCGACACCACCATCCATGCAAGCACCGAGGCCAGCACCAACCCCAGCATCAGCGCCTGCATCGACGACGGCATCGACTCCAGCACTGGAGCCAGCATATACGCCATCACCACCGCAAGCATCAACTCCAACATCGACGCCAGTACCCACGCCCACATCGACCCCCGCATCGACACCAGCCCTCAAGACAGCATCGACGTCAGCACCGACACCAGCATTAACGCCAACATCGAAACCCACACTGTCGCCAGTATCGACTACAGCGCTGGCCAAAGCACTGCCGCCAGCATGCGCACCAACATCGATCCCAGCATCACTGCCAGCATCGACGCCGCAAGGCCCCCAGCATCAACGACATCACCGACGCCAGGAACGGTAACAGCACCAGCGCCAGCATCGACTACAGTAACGACCCCAGACGCGACCCCTGCGCCGACCCCAGCACTGACGCCACCATCAACCCCAACACCAACGCCAACGTCGAAGACTGCATCGACTCCAGCAGGAGCAAGCACCTGCATCATCGCGGACAACACCATCGTCTCCAGCACCGACGCCAACACCTACGCCACCATCACCCTCCGCACGGACGCTAGCATCGCAGACAGCAGCGCCCCTACCATCAGAACCAGCAGCGGCGTCAGTATCGACGCCAGCACTGGGCCCAGCATCAATGCCATCGATGGTGACATGATCGACGCCCGCATCGACGCCAGCACCGAAGGCAATCGTGGACTTAGCCTCCAAGCCAATACCGGCGCCAGCGCCAGCGCCGATTCCAGTTCCAACGCCAACACCGACACCAAAATCGGCCCCAGCATCGACGCCTGCAACGACTCCCGCATCTACGTCAGCACCGACCGCCGCACCGCGGAACGTTGCTCTTCCCTGCTCCCCGAGGGCCCTACCAACCTGTCGGGCGCCCGACCACTCCCACACGGACGACCGCGACCAGGCCACGGGACTCTGCGGGTCCGACGCTGCAAAGTCCATACGCGTGCGCGGAACGGGCCAGGTCAACGACGAGGCCCTGTACGCCACCTCCATTCGCTTTGGCAAGATCCACGCATTCAACGTCGCTTGGGGTTCGCACGGGCGCGCCCTGGGCTGCGGCTCCAAGCAGTACGAGACTGAGGAAGCGACCACAAAGCGACCAACCACCACGAAGGCATTCCAATGGATAAGACCTGGGTTGCACTGACTCCAGCAGCGTGGCGGCATCGAAACCAACACTAACGCCAACAGCGACGCCAGCATCAACACCTGAACCGAAGTCAGCATCAAGTCCAGCAGAGGAGCCTGCATGGACTCACCCACCGACGCCAACGTCGACCCCAGCATCGACGCCAGCACCGACGCCCGCATCGATGCCAATATCGACGATCGCATGGAGGACATTACCGAATCCATCATCGGAATCCGCATCCATGCCATCATCGACACCGAGCGGAGGGGTTTGGGAGCGGAGGGCGTGGGGGAGGGGCAGCCACGCGGTGAACAGAGGGGGGAGAGAGGCTGGGCACAGGACGGGGAGGGGAGGAGGGGAGGGTGGGGTGGGCAGAAGGGAAGCCCTCCCCCCCTGTCCACCTCATCCTCGCCTCCTTCTCCCTCCTCCCACCTCTTCCTTATCCTCTTCCTTTTCTCGTCGTCGCCTGCCCCTCTCAAGAATCTCTCCCCGGAAGCACTCATAAGTATGTACCCATGTGTGGGGGTGTGTGATGAATTTCTCCTCCTGCTTCCTCCTCCCTCCTCCACCCATCCCCCTCCTTCTTGCTCCTCCTCTTCTTCTCCTCGAAGGGGGCGGTGGGGCCTAGTGCCCCCCTCTGGACCCCTCCAGGGTAATGACAGATACTGGACACCCCCAGGACCATTAGAACACCTCCCCCCTCACCCCCTCTGCACCCCTCGGGCCCTCGCAGACTGCCTCTTCCTTCTCCCTCCTCCGGAGCCCCTCCCTCCTCCTCCTCCTCCCTCCTCCTCCTCCTCCACCTCCTCCTTCTCCTTTTTTCTCCTCCTCCTCCTCCCTCCCTCCCTCCCTCCCTCCCTCCCTCCCTCCCTCCCTCCCTCCCTCCCTCCCAGCCGCCGTCCCGGGTCGAGGCTTTGGGTGCAGTGCCCGCGGTACCAGGTACCGCCGCGCGCTGCGAGCCTCGCCCGCAGACAGCTGCCATGCGCGCAGGCCGCCTCGCCTTGCCCCTGGCGCCGATGCCAGGCGAGCCGCAGGCCAGCCGCGCGCCGCGAGACCTCTCCGGACGGCGCTGCAGCCGACCGAGGCCGACGCTTAGTGCACCTGCGCGACGGCTCGGCTATGCGGCCAGAGTCGGTTGCCGGCCTCGTATGAGCGACGTGGCCGCCGTCGTGCGTCGTGGCCCTGCTCCTGGACCCGAGCGTGTCCGCGGAGATAAACATGCACTTCTTCCTGCTGGTGCTGCACCCCGGGAGTCACCCGGGCTCGAGGCGATCAGCGCCCCTGCGGCTGCGGCAGCCGCCCGTTCGCCCAGTGCTACGCCGACCTCCTCGCCGTGTGCTTCGTCGGTGCTGCTGCCGCCACGCGTGTTGCCTGCGCGACCCGCCCAAGATCGTGCCGACGCTGCTGCTGCAGCTGCTCCCGCTCTCGGCCAGGATCATGTTCTACGTCTTTTTGCTCGTGCTGTACTCCCGGAGCTCCCGCCGTGCTCGATAGGCGCGGAGCGTGGCGCTCGGGCGGCGTATCTTGGTACCTCCAGCTGCCTGGTTGCTCGCCGCGTGCCGGCGCCGCCGCCCGGCGCTCCTCCCGCTGTGGCGCCGGCTGTGGCCTTGCGCGCTCCGCCGCCGCCGCCGCTGTACGATGTGAGCCGATACGTCGTCGGCACACCGTGCGGGCAACTTGGTGACTTTGACGCTGCTGCTGTACCCGCGTCGGACGCGAAGCTGGAGGCCGGTGCCGTGGCGGAGGCCCCCGCCGCGATGCCCAGCAAGGCTGCCGTCAGAGTTGCTGCCCATCTTGCGGCTGCGTGTCCGCTGGCCGCGCGCCGCGCTGCGTGGCCCCAGCGACGCGCAGCGGCACTGGGACAGCGGAAGCTACCCGAAGGGCGAGCAGTGGCAGCCGGCCCTATCGCTTCTCAGCGAGATGTGGGTGGTGAAGCTGGAGCCCGACATCATGAGCTACAGCACGTGGCAGCCAGCTCTATCGCTGCTCAGGGAGATGTCGACGGCGAAGCTGGCACCTTCCATCCTGAGCCACAGAATCCCGACCAGCGTGTGCGAGAAGCGCTGGCAGTGGCAGCCAGCCCGATCGCTGCTCATCGAGATGTGGATGGTGAATCTGGAGCCCGCCATCGAGAGTTTCTGGATCCCGATCCGCGCGTGCGAGCAGGGCGGGCAGTGGCAGCCAGCCCTCTCGCTCCTCCGCGAGAGGTCGGTGGTGAACATGGAGCCCGACATCCTGAGCTACATCACGTGGCAGCCGGCCTTATTGCTGCTCAGCGAGATGATGACGAGAGGAATCGGAGGATCGGCGACGCGATCGCTGCTCAAGGAGGCATCGAAGCTGCCAGGGCCGCCATGGTTGCCGCATATGCGGCCATCGGCATCCATATGAAGTAGAAGATCGTGCCTCGCTCTGATGGTGATCGGCGGGATCTTCTTCCAGACAGCCCGGATGGTGGCCCATAGTGAGGCGACTGAGCATTGAGTATTGCAAGCTTCCTGCCACGTCGCAACTTGTCACCTTCAGGACGATGTTTGTGAAGTGGGATCATGAATGCACGTCTGTGCTCAGACACTTTGATCACGAGAGCAGGAGAATTTCGGTCTGTGTTCCGGCCTTCTCCCAAGCTCTCTTCCGTGTCACGAGAGCAGGAGGATTTCGGTCTGTGTCCCAGCCCTCTTTCTCCCTCTCGCATATCCTTACTAATTGTTTCCCTCCATCCGCCTCTCCTCCACAATGCCCGTGTAGGGCACGGCACGCGAGCAGAGTATGTCTTGATCCGTCCGTCGCCACCTACTGTGGGGGATGGGGTTTCATGAGAGACGATAGGGAGGTGCAGGGGAGGAGCAGCAGCTGCCGTAGCATGCGTCGCATCCCCTCCCTCCCTCGGTTAGCGCGAAGGTAATCGCCTCTGCTTGCCTCCGCCGTCGTCGTTCGTCCGTGTCGCGAGGGTGCGAAGTTTTCCTTCCCCCGCTCAGCTACGAGATGTCACGACATCACGAGAGCAGGAGAATTTCGGTCTGTGCCCCAGCCTTCTCCCAAGCTCTCTTCCGTGTCACGAGAGCAAGAGGATTTCGGTCTGTGTCCCAGCCCTCTTTGTTCCTCTCACATATTATTCCCTCCCTCCGCCTCTCCTCCACAATGCCCGTGTAGGGCACGGCACGCGAGCAGAGTATGTCTTGATCCGTCCGTCGCCACCTACTGTGGGGGATGGGGGTTTCATGAGAGGAGGGAGGGATGTACGGATTCCTTGCTTCGGTTCGACGCGTCCCGTCCGCTCTGATGCGGGAGTCCATTCGTGCTGTGCTGACCTTGCCTCACTTGGTGCCCGTGCAGATCACCGCTTTTCTGTTCAGCCGGCTTGCCTGACTGTTCTTTAAAGTTTCTGCGAGTTGCAGCGCCGCTCTTTCGCGACAGCCGCCAGGTTCATCGCGCGCGCAATCCCCCCCCAAAAAAATCCCTCCCTCCCTCCCTCCCTGCCTCCGTCTCTCCCTTCCTCCCTCCCTCCCTCCCTCCCTCCCTGCTCCTCCTCCTTCTCATGCTCCTGCTCCTCGTCCTCCTCCTCCTCCTCCTCCTCCTCCTCCTCCTCCTCCTCCATTCCTTCTCCTTATATATAGATAACTCCTCCCTGTCGCACCCCGAGGCAATTTTTTAGGCCGGGGCGGGCGTTGCGCGTGAGACTTCCTCACCATTTATGACTATGAAGCTTGAAAAGTGACAACAGCTTCACAGATGGAGGGCGGGCCGTTTTCAAAATGTGGCCCTCGCCTTAGCGCCGCGCACATTGGTTTTGAACAGTTGCAAGAGTTTCACGGATTGAGGGCGGGTCGTTTTCAAAAAGTGGCTCTCGCCTTAGCGCCGCGCGCATTCGTTTTGAACATTTGCAAGAGCTTCACGGATTGAGGGCGGTCCGTTTTCAAAATGTGGCTCTCGCATTAGCGCCGCGCACAGTCGTTTTAAACATTTGCCAGAGTTTCACGGATTGAGGGCAGGTCGTTTTCACAATGTGGCTCGCGCCTTAGCGCCGCGCACATTCGTTTCAAACATTTGCAAGAGTTTCACTGGTTGAGGGCGGGTGGTTTTCAATATGTGGCTCTCGCCTCAGCGCCGCGCACATTCGTTTTAAACATTTGCAAGAGTGTCACGGACTGAAGGCGGTTCCTTTTCAAACTGTGGCTCTCGTCCAGCGCCGCGCACATCCGACTTTGAACATTGCAAGAGTTTCACGGATTCCCATGGTCAACGTACCAGAAATGGTGTTTTGGCAAGATTCAGGATTATGCGGGCGCAACAATTATGCTGATTCGCTCTGTTGAAGTCCCAAACATGGTTTTCTGGCAAGATTGCGGATCGTCAAGACGCAGCAGTCAGGTTGATAATTGGCGTTGGCATCCCGAGAACAATGTTTTGACACTCTTCAGGATCTTCAAACTGTTGTCTTCCAACGAGGCAGTTCCCTCAATGGGCATGAACCGTTGTAGGGGCCTGAGAAGAGGGAGCGTTTGAGGGGTGGGTAAATTCCGACATCGTTGATGACTCTTGGGTTTCCACTGGGTTTCCTCCTCCTCCTGTTCCTCCTCCTCCTCCTCCTCCTCCCCACTCCTCCCCCCTCCATCCCCCCTCCTCCCCCTCCTCCTTCTCCTCCTCCTCCTCCTCCTCGTCCCCCTCCTCGACGAAGGCCGTGTTGGCCTATCACGACCCGGAACGGCACCGTCATCTCCAGGTTGCCCTCCACCAGGGCCTCGACCTGGATCCGGAAGGGCCCGCGCAGGAGGCCCGTGCGTCCCTCTGGGGCGGGCGGCTGCTTTATGTTCCCAGCCCTCCTGCGTGAGGTTCTCGTCTTGAACAGAGCACCGCGGTCGCGCCCTGCTCCTCCTCCTCCTCCTCCTCCTCCTCCTCCTCTCCTCCTTCTCCTCCTTTTAACGTCAGGCTAACCTTAGCCGAGAGCCTCTTCTTCTCCTCCTCCTCCTCCTCCTCCTCCTCCACCTCCTCCTCCTCCTCCTCCTCCTCCCCCTCCCGCCTTCTTCTCCGCTCTCCGCACCTGCCTGCTACCCTGCCTCCTGACTGCCTCCTGCCCTGCCTCCTCGCAATCCCTGAGAATTTGCGATCTGCGAGGTTGCTGCCACTTTCGAGGGCTGCTGGGGGGTCCACCTCGTTCCCCTTCTCTTGGCGGCGCGCACAAGGAGGGCACGTATGGGGAGGGGGGAGGCTTCTTGGAAGGAGTCTGCTCCTTAGAGAAGGCGCTGGCCTTACTTCTACAGGGACACGGCCCGCGCCTTCTGAGAAGCAGGGGTGCTTCGAAGAATCCTTCCCCCCTCCCCCATACCCTCCTCTGCGAGTGGCTATTTCTTTCCTCCTCCTCCTCCTCCTCATCATCGTCATCATCATCCTCCCCCTCCTCCTCCTCCTCCTCCTCCTCCTCCTCCTCCTCCTCAGGGAGAGTAATGGGGTAACGATCGATGTGGACGGGCACAGGTGGGAAACATCGACCTGGAATCGAGGATGCATCGCCGAAAGGTCGGCGATTGGCCGCCGATGGCAGATCCCCGCGCTCCTGGGCGGGGTGGGGCGAGCGGACCCCTATCGGCGATCAGTGGGCGACTGGGGGTCGATGCGTCGCCCCCCCCCATGCCTATCGGCGGCGACCGAGGGGAGGAGGTGAGAAGAAGAAGGCCTTCTCAGAAGGCGGCGGGGCTTCTCAGAGGCCCTCCGGCCTTCCGAGAACTTTCCTGTGCCTTGTTGGGGAAGGCGTGGACCACTTCTCAGAAGGCCAGGGGGCCTCCGAGCCTTCTGATCGGCTGCACGCAAGAGTGACCCCAGGTATTGTGGAGGCCAGTCCACAAGAAACCATCCACAAGAAACCCAACCCTGAGACCCCAGGACGTCCATGGATTGTTGTGGGAACCGTCACGCTTTCCATCGAAGAACCATCGAAACCTAAGAAACCCATAGCACACTGGAGGCAAGCAGGATGTTTCTCGGCATGGGTCTCCACTGTACTCCCTGGGCCTTTCCTGGGTTGTATTCTGACCACGAGGCGGAATCCAGCGGTGGCGACAAGGGCCGCCCATGAGGCCCAAACACAAGAGAAAACGAGGGAAGGGTAGAGGTAGGGTAGGTATAGGTAGAGTAGGTAGAGGAAGCACATGGAAAGGGCAGAGGAAGGGTAGAGGTAGGGCAGGCTGTTTCTTGGCATGGGCCTCCACTGTAAGGAGTGACCTCTGGTGCGCGGCCTGCCGATCGTTGCGTCCGGTGCGGCAGCAGCAGCCTGCGCGCTCTGGGTTTTGGGCCCCCGCGCGCCCGCCGCCAGCCGATCGCGCGCGAGGTCCCTCGGGCGAGGGGCCACCCTCACATGCAGCCGAGCTGCGAAGGCCCGCCCCTGCTGGCTTCCCCCGAGGCTCGCAGTCGACCCTGCATGCCTCCCCCCCCCTTTACGGCAGGAGCTCGACCACCAGAAACCTTCCACTCCCCAGAAACCCAGGGCACCCTGGAGACAAGCAGGACGTGTCTTGGCATGGGTTTCCACTGCACCGCTGCCCCCGAGAGAAAGAGGAGGACGATGTTGAGCAGGGACCGACCGTCCCGGCATTCCTGTAGTCCTGCCACGGAATGTTCTGAGAACCCAGAACTGCTCGAACAACGAAAACAACGTTCCTAGAACATGAACCCGATGTGTTCACACAAGACAAGATCAACCAAAAAAGTTCCGAGAACATCTCGTGGAAACCACACAAGGTTTTCAGAACATTGCTTGGTGGGGCTATATTGGGCGCCCGAGTTATCCGGGGTAACTCGGGTCCGGGGTAACTCGGGTTTGGATTCCCGAGAAAGGAACCCGAGTTAGCCCTGACCCGAGTTACCCCTGATGATTCGGGGCTCTGGACGCCCGAGTTATCCGGGATAACTCGGGTCCGGGGTAAGTCGGGTTTGGATTCTCGAAAAACGAACCCGAGTTATCCCTGACCCGAGTTACCCCTGATGATTCGGGGCTCTGACTATAGGCGAGCCAGGACGCTTCGCCACTGCTTGACGATGGGGCCAGCCCGTGCCCGGCGCCCCCCGAGGCCTCGGCCAGGCCCGCCGGCGGCCCGCCGCCGCCCAGCGGCGTGCCGCAGAGCCAAGCGCCGCCCTGCAGCGCCCAGCCGTCGGCCATGCGCCCGCGCACTACGCGCACGTCGCTCTCAGCCTGCACTCGCCCAGCCCACGTGCACCCGCCCAGCCCAGCTCACGAGTTAAGAAAAGGGTTGTGCCAATAGGAGGAGAAGGCAAGGCGGGGGAGGAGGAGGCAGGGAGGAGGAGGAGGAGGAGGAGGAGGAGGAGGAGGAGGAGGAGGAGGAGGAGCAGGAGAAGGAGCAGGAGGAGGAGCAGGAGGAGGAGGAGGAGGAGGAGGAGGAGGAGGAGGAGGAGGTTGAGGAGCAGGAGGAGGAGGAGCGGAGGGAGGAGCGGGGAGAAGGTGGTGAGGGAGGTGGAGTGGGGAGGAGGAGGGTGGGGAGAGCACGGAAACGGTGCACCAGGGAGAGGGTTAAGGGCATCACTCGAAGCACGTTCTGAAGCAATAGCCCAGGTCCAGATATATGGAATATCTCCGCGAAAATAAGGGAGCCCCATGAAAACGCCCAGGGTCCAGCCTGGATTCCCGACTCTCCTGAGCGAAATCTGAAATCCGTGCAAGTTTGTGCTTTCCTTGAACTGTCTGCAGGGTGCCTCTGCACTCAAAACTGTCTGCCACACAACAGCACGACATCAACGCGGAGTTAGCTCGCGCGAATGGAAGGCGATCGTGAAACAGATCGGCACCCAACGGAGAGGGGTGCAGGCCGATGCTGCACTGCGCAGTTATCGACAGTCGAAGCTGATAGTAAAGATGCGCGGTAAGGATGCAGGCCCCTTGGACGCGCATGTCGAAGCTTTTTCGAGCGGGGCTAAGGGGTCAAGGATGGACCGCGGAGGCAATGATGCCTCCTCGGGAAGGTTGCCTTTGGGAAGGTTGGCCATCTTCGAGAAAGGCCCTTGGGAATGATGCCTCTTCGAGAAGGGTGCCCTTGGGAACCGTGGGAATGATGCCTCCTCGAGAAGGGGGCCCTTGGGAAGGTTGCCCATCCCTACTATCGATTTCGACTGCATAGCTCGAGTGCTTCTGTCGTGTAGGGACGCCGCTGCGGCAGAGAGAGACTTCGGGGAGGCCCCGGCTCCCTGTAACCCTGGCGTTTGAAAGCCCACTGGCACCGCCACTCCTCGCGCTCCCTGCCCTGTCCCGTCCCCCCCGCCTGATCCCCCTCGTGCACCAACGACACGACCAAGCTCCTGCCGGGACGATCGACATGGGTACGGAAACAGTGGGTACAGAGTCAAACAGCGGTTCATGCTTATTCTGAGCAGGGTTCGCTGTGGGCGAAGCCGCGGCTGTGGTCCATTCGGGGCAGAAAGCCGCCTGCTCAACAGCGGCCGCTGACGCCGGTTTTGAACAACATTCGTTGTTGGGCATCATGCCCATGTTTTCCGTAAACTCCGGTCGGAAGTGGGTACAAACGTGAAGTAGGAAGGCGGATCAAGTACATTGGGTTCAGGCCCTCCCAGAAAATGACAACACGTAGCAAACACTTATCGACTCTTGAAACAGGAAGACGCTTGAGGTAGACTGGGATCTGGGAATCCAAAAATACAGACTTCCAACGACCCACGGGTACCCATTTCGGGCGCCCAAACTCTGGACGCCCAGAGCGGGTACGGAAAACATGGGTAACATGCCCAACCACGCATTCTGCCACAAACCAACAGCGGCCGCTGTTGGACAGGCGGCTTTTGTGTCTTCCATGGACGCAGTCCGCGGCGACGCCGACAGCGAGTCCTGCCCAAATAGAACATGAACAGGAACTGCTGCCGGGCATCGAAGCCGTCGTTTTCCCTACCCAGATCGACCGCCCCGACGAATCCTGACCCTGCGCTCCATCCACACGTCTGGCAGCGACAGGTCGACGAGCTGCAGGCGCCACTTGGGCCACAGCAGCGCCCTGTCCAGCGCCCGCAGCCCCGCCGCGACAGCTCCTGTGCGCCTCGGGCCGCGGGCCGCTGCCGTAGCCGCTCCCTGCGGCCGCGGTGCCCTGAGCTCCCGGCTTCCGAGAGACATGCTCGATCTCACTGCCGACCTCACTATCGGTCTCGCTCCTGATCTCACGATCGATCTCACGACCGATATCACGACCGATCTCGCTATCGATCTCACGATCGATCTGACCAACGATCTCACGATCGATCTCACGATCGATCTCACTCTCGACTTCACTATCGATCTCGCCATCGATCTCACTTCTGATGTCCCGTTCGGTATCACTATCGATCTCACTGTCTATCCCACAATCGATCTCACTTCTGATCTCACGATCGATCTCACTATCGATCTCACTACCGACCTCACTACCGATCTCACTATCGACCTCACTTCTGATCTCACGATCGATCTCACTATCGATCTCACGAGTGGCCTCGCCATCGATATCTCATCATCGGGCCAACCATCGACCCCACTATCGATCTCGCTAGCGATCTCACCATCGACCTCACCGACGGGACAACGACGGGACATGCTCGCGTCGTAAGATTACCCGAGACGTACCCAGCTCCTTCGCCTGGCGGGGCGAATACTTGCATGAACGCTCCACACACGAGAACGCATCGCCAGACATCAACGATCATCGGTGTCCTCATCTCCGCCGTGCCTCCCAGGAGCACACAAACGTGGCGACGGTTGCGCAGGTCGTAGCCTCCCAAGGAGCCGCGAGGTCTCGGCTGGATCCGCGTGGCCCCCGACTCCGCTGGAGCTCTCAGGAGCCCGCGAAAATGGCGACGGCTGCGCAGTTCGCAGCATCCCAGGGAGCAGCGCGGTCCCAAATGGGTGCGCGTGGCCCCCGACCCCGCTGGGCCTCCCATGAGCCCACGAAAGTAGTGATAATTGCGCAGTCCGCAGCTTCCCATGAGGCAGCGAGGTACCAAACGGGTTCGCGTGCCGCCCGACTCCGCACGACTTTTCAGGAGCCCACGAGAGCGGCGACACCTGCGCAGTTCGCA